CTGGAGGTGGATAAAGTGTGTGTGTGGGGGGGATGGGGGACATCTATAATGTCAACAATAAATAAAATAAATGTTTATTTCCAGAAGCTGAGTCACCAGTAAAGAGCATCCCTGTCCCAGGTCAACTCATGGAGAACACAGTCAAGTTCTACGTGTACAGACCTAGCAACTCATCCCTTGTTAGAAAAGCCCCAGGACCTCCATAGCTCACCCCGGAGCCCACCTGACTGGCCGATTTCCACTGAATCCCTCCCCGCAGCCTTCCCGCCGGGGCACTGGGCAACAACCCCCTAAAATACCAAGTGCTTTCAGGACGCTATGCCTTTGCTCCCGCCTGAAAACGCCTCCTCCGTCCTCCAAAGCTAAATGGCATTTGGGGGAGCCTGCCCTCCGCCCCAGCTGTACCTTCCACCGCCCTGGTAGCAGTCACCCCAGCAGCTTCCTCTGCTGGAAGCAACGCCTGAGGCTGAGCTCCTGGTGAATTCATCTTACTATCTCCATCTCCTGGCACGGTGCCTGGCACCTCACTGGCTTAGAATGTTAAGTGACTGTCACCATGTAAGAGAAATTATAGCATGTGCTCAATTCATTAAGAACCTGAACACCTAAAGACAATATCTAAGCTTTCTAAACTGCCCAGAGCATGCCCATTACAGAAAGAACAGTGTATTATAAAACCATAGAGTGTACGGAAATAAATATCTCTAGTCTACTAGTATAGTGTCTAGACGAAACAAAGCCCAGTTTCTGTGCAGTAAACTACCAAGTGGAGACATTCTCTAGGGCCCGGGCTGGGAAAGAGGAAGCAGTCACACACACCACACGCGCAGCTCCCTCCTCCTCTCCAGCACCGAGATGTGTGTGGGTTTTAAAGTCAGCAAATATCTAAATGACGACTAGTTGCACAGCGCATTTTCCCAGGAACCGAGAAGACCATTAAAGAAACACCAGCCAATACCTGCGCCCTGAGAGATCCAATCTCCGAGATAAGGTTTGGGCACATAAATAACGAGAGAACACAATAGGCACTCGGGGAAATGGCGCAGCCCGTGAACTGTGCGGAATCGGAGCAGGCAGGTCAGTAATGACCTTGTCAGGGCAGGTTTACAAAGTGGGACTGGGGGGTAGCTCTCATGATATGATTACAACGTAGGTGGGATTTATGGCGAGTAGGCAGAAAAGAAGACAGCTATAAAAAAGCTGTCCAACATGACAAAAGAACTCCCATCACTAATAGTGATGGGACAGAACATAAATGGCAATGACAATAATGAGAGAATATTTATTGAGTCCCACTCACTATATGCAGGGGTGGGCAAAAGTAGGTTTACAGTTGTGCATACGCTAAAGTTTATTCTAATGGTATTGTGTATTATTGTATTATTTATTTGTTTACGACTGTGAGCCTACCTTTGCCCACTCTACACACAATGTGTCCAGCTCTCAGACAGCCATGAGCACCAGGAGGGGGTTCGGCAGAGCTCCTCACCCGGAGGGGCCTGGAGCGCCCCGGCCGGGAGTGCCTGAGTCCAGTAGCCAAAGGATCCACTGATGTGCAGAAGCAAAGTCCTTAGAAGGAACTGAAAAATCAGGACGAGGGTTTAGATGGGAGCATAGGAAGCGTGTGTCACCACACCTAAGAGAATATAGCTAGGCATGTAAACAAAGACAGACATAAAGTAAGTTTTCACATTTTTTAAATATTTATGTGAGCAGCAGCCAGCAAAGCAGTGCTCTTCCTAAAAGAGTTGTCAGGTTTGGAACACGTGAGGTCATCTTCCCATTCACGTATTGATGACGGTCCTCAGACTGCAGATCTGACACCTACAACCTGACAGATGTGCCGAGCCCTGGACTTCAACCCCAGCCTCACCAGCGAGCTCACTAACGATGCCGGCCGCTCCCTGGCCGACATCAGTTCCTCCCCTGGGAGACCGCAGGAGGTAATCTTTATGAAATCTCCATGGAGATCAAAGATGAGAAAAGAATGAGAAAGAAGGTCTTAAAAAATGTTAGACATGGTGGAAAACAGGAGCACTCTGCCAGTTACGTAAGTACTTCATGATCAGTATTAAATGTAGGGACACATCCGAGGTTTCCCGATTCCGCACTGGAAGGTGGACTTACGAAAAGCAGCGTGAGTGCCAGGAAGTCAACAGGAGAAAACAGCGCAGGGCAGTGACATGAAGGCAAACCTGAGTTGCTATAAGAATATGAATAAAGCCTCACTCTTCTCAATTATAACAATCTTCTCAAATTAGAAACATTGTCATGATGGCAAGTTTTCAAAAGTAATTAGTCAAGTGACTTATACCTGTGTTTCAGATACAGTGGGTGCGACTGATGATGAAGCCACCTGCGTCCTTGCTCAGTACAGTGAGTCACCCTGGAGCTCCCGCGCTGGATCCGGGTGACTACGCTACTAAGTTAACATTTGCTGCTATAAATTAAAATGACAAAATGCCATCTGAACACGGATTATGTGTAGTGACAGTGCTGAAAAACACACCTGACCATCGGTTACTTTGGCAAGAAAATTGAACAAGAGAACACATGACAGACAAACATGAAGACATGTGAACTATTAATTTATATGCATTCAAAAAAAAACACAGTGAAAATGCTGATAAAATAAAGTATATTAAAGCAAAAAAAAAACAACAACACAAAAAACAGTTCCAATAGCTGTAGATCTATGTGCTCTGAAAATTATTTCTTCCACTTTTTACATTTATTCCTATTCAATGATTCTCGAGTTACGAAAGGTCATCCATGCAGAACTGATCTTTCCTATGAAACGAGACTGCCTTTTCTGGAATTAAACATCCACATAATGGTCTTGACCTAGAAATAGATGGAATTTTCACTAACTTTGATGACTGGTAATCATTAGAATGGTAACGAAAGAAATCCAGAAACACATAGGCTGTGGTCCCTATGATAATGCATCTCATTTACATAAACTTCTTTTTTTTAATCCTCACCCAAGAATATTTTTCTATTGGTTTTTAGAGAGTGGAAGAGAGAGGTTAACACAGAGAGAAATATCAAGGGAGCCTGCAACCGAAGTATGTGCCCTTGACCGCCTTGACCGGAATCAAACCCACGATCCTTCAGCCCGCAGGCTGATGCTCTATCCACTGAGCCAAACTGGCTAGGGCACATTTACATAACCTTTAAGAGAAATTAATACAGCCAAACAGCTCAGTGTGTAGAACTTACAAAAAATAGCTACTGTTTAAATTTTAGCAACATCCAAATATGCATATGTGTACAATAAAATTGTATCTGCTTTTACTATTGATGCCATAGTACGACCACAAATCAATCACAAATTGGTAACATATCATCAGATTTACACTAAACTCATCGCATATGCTATTTATTTGAGTACTCATGAATGCCAGGTTCAGAATCCTTCTAATTGTATCTCTTAATATGTTTAAGGGAGTATGAACATTATTTAGAGTTAACCAGAAGTCTATTTTAGAAAGAAAAAAACAATGGCTTTAAACATTGAAAAAAACTCTTTAAATCCTGAATTCCCACCCTTTCACTGGGAAATATACAGGTCCGACATCTCCTTATTAATACACTCAGCACCGCGCTCAGCCACGCCTCCGCCTTCGAAGGCGAGCCCCCCAGGACAGCGGGGGCTCCTGAGCCTCAGTCCCTCGGCTCGTCTGGGCCCCATGCCGCCCGATATACTCTCCCCACGTCTTACTCCGCTTCTCTATGTGGAGTCCTCTTTCCCTGAAGAAGGGAGAAACAAGAAAAGTAACGCCATCGAGCACTAAGTGTTGGGCTACCTCTCTTCCCTCACTATACTCGCCTGCAAAGGGTGAAACACAGCCTCGTGGTTAGAGCATGAAGCCTGGAGGCACATCCCCTGGGTTCAAATCACTGCCCTCCCACGTTCTAGGGGTGATCTCGGGCGCCTTACTTAACACCTGTGGGCCTCAATCCCCCACCTGGTAGATCAGCCACAGCGTCATGGAGAGGGCTGAGGGAGCAGTGAAGTGAGTTCTCTGACCCGCAGAACGATGCTGGCACACAGCAGCCCGTGTCAGGAAAGGTGCTGTGATAGCTCCATGCGCTGAATCCCACCCACCGCCAATGACCCTATGGCTGTCTCCACTCCGACCTCTTCTCTGACGTCCCATCGCCTGCGTGACATTTCCCCTCGGATCGCACAAACGCCTCCAGGGTAACACGCCCAAGAGAAGACAGAATGCTGGATCTTTTCTTTCCCTCCCGGCCCTAACCCGACCCCCGTGGCTTCCAGCGCGCTAGGAATAAAAACCCAGGTTCCTGAAGATCTGGTTTGTGCCCATCTCATGTTGGTGCCCACCACCCTCTCCTCTCCCACATGCTAAGCTGCCCACAGTGGCGCATGCTGCCCGCTGCACCCCATGCTCTCTTCCTCTGCCCGCCTTGCACCTTCTCTTCCACTGGTGATAGGACAGAGGCGAGGAGGACACACAGAAGGCGATGAAACAGCAGTTTCAACACCGGCTATCTTTCCCACACTCAGGTTACTTTTTTAAAATACGTATTTTTATTGATTTCAGAGAGGAAGGATGAGGGAGAGAAAGAGAAACATCAATGATGACAGAGAATCAGTGATCGGCTGCCTCCTGCACGCCCCACCCTGGGGATCGAGCCCGTAACCCGGGCCTGTGCCCTGACAGGGAATCGATGCTCAACCACTGAGCCACGCTGGCCGGGTAGGTTACATTTTTTATGATGTTTGTTTAGTAAATGGCATCTTATTTTGGTCTTTCACCGCAGACAAGCTTTGTTTCACATTTAACATGCACACTCTTCACTTCCGCAAAGGAAAGCACCCTCCCCTATTTCCTGGAGCACAGAGCCCTCTCGGTTGGCCTCTTGTCTTCCCGCTGTGATAAGGGGCGTGGGGACAAGAACTTTGTCACTCTTCTTCGAACCCTAATTCAGATAAGCCATATCAGATGATAAATGGCAACTCAGAGCCCGTGTCAGGAAAACAACTGAGACTGGGAGAAACTTCCAGAACCTGGACTGCGTCCCCATTGAGAAGCGGGAGGAGGTTCACTTAGTTCCAGTGGATTCCTGCTAGGAAGTCAGCTCAGGGAGGCCAGGCAGCCTGCTTCTAAGAGAAATGGGACAGCAGACTTTAAAGCCACCGATGCTCCCCCCTCCACCCCGGCCCCAGGTTCTGACTACACGGGCCAAGGCCCCTGGACTTTAAAGTTCCAGGGGACAGCTAGGGCTGAGGACCCTAGTCCCGTCCAGAGCTCCACCTTCACGTGGACAAACTGAGACTCAGAGAAGCTGGACGCTGCGCCCAGGCACCTACCTAGTCTGAAACAGGTAGAGGCAGCACGCAGCTCTTCGAAGGCAGTGTCTGCAAACTACGGGTCAGCACAGCAAGACAGGAAACAGCCTAATGGCCTATAAACAGCATTTCCAAAAGGGCAGGTAGGAAATCAGAGAGCACTCCACACGTGGGCACATGTTCTTACATGACACTGAATACATGCACGTGTGCTTTGTCTCATGTGCCTCTCCAAAGGCAAGTTCTCCTCTCCTCTGCCTCATTCCCAGGCCCCGGAGGCTGACCACACACCCTTCACTGGGCCCCTTGTCAGGGTTTCCAGGGGGTCAGCAGTGAGAGGCACCAGCAGAGCGTCCGGAGCCACTCTTCTCCGGGGTCCTGCTCCCGGCACAGGCCTCCTGGGGTGCAGCTGCTGGCAGCGCCCCTTCCCTTCAGGCCCAGAGGGGGCAGCACCTTCCCACTGTGCACAGTGCCCGGGGCTTCAGGACCCTCTGTGGACTCCTCACGCCTGCTCAGACTTCTGAAAACAGTCCTGTATTAGAAGTTCCTGTCAGGACAGACAGAAGTAGACAGAGAAGCATACAGAATTGGGTTGTACTTTCAGGATGTGAGCAGATTTTAATGTAAACCCTATTGCTCACTGTGGGTTGTGGTCAGAGAAGTCTGAGGAACATTGCCATGGTTTTCCTGACTGCAGCATGGCCTCCCTGGCTGATACAGGAAGCTACTGGGTTGAGACGCCTAAAGAACATTTCAAGAACCTTCTTTTCAGCTGTTAGTGTTAAATAAATCCTAAGCCATGGCCCCAAATGCGGAAGATGTGTTTATTACAACGAATTTTTAAACAATGTTTAACACTGCCCTACTGTGGAAAGGGTCCCCTTGTAGCTAGCACTCAGCACTTACGAAGGAGATGAGAGAAACTGACTTAGGGACCCCCAAGTCAGTTTCTAACTCTTAAAAATTCGTAGTTTTATCAAGGAAATTCAAGTTTTAAAATTTCTTCCTAAACATAAATGAAGCCATTTTTGTCATATCAAAGTCCCATACTAAAGACTGTGCAGGGTCAGCCCAACTCTCACTCATTCTGCAGGGGGACAGAAGAGAGGAAATGAGGCGGTTTTCAAAATGTCTATACGCTGCTTGTCTGTGCACGATCGAGAGTAAAGGGCCAGAGAAAGAAACGAACATCCAGGTCCTATCATTCTCCAGAACCATCTCTCAAGGTGTTCTGTGGCCTTTGCAGATGGTTAGCAAGGACAGAAGTCTCTAGACCAGGGGTGGGCAAACTTTTTGACTCGAGGGCCACAATGGGTTCTTAAACTGGACCGGAGGGCCGTAACAAAAGCATGGATGGAGTGGTTGTGTGAACGACTTTAAATTCAAAGTAAACATCATTACATAAAAGGGTACGGTCTTTTTTTTTTTTAGTTTTATTCCTTTCAAACGGGCCGGATCCAGCCCACGGGCCGTAGTTTGCCCACGGCTGCTCTAGACCTTAGTCTAGTCACCTAAGTCCATACATCTGGAGGTCAGTGGCCAACGGAAACCCAGGAACATGAGACAGTTCCTTCACTGGGCCTCCTTCCAATCGCCAAAGGGGTGAGTCAGATAAAATGGCCCACTGCTATATTAACACAACACTGTATTTAGCTATGGGCATCACTAAATCCAAACACAGCTACCCAACATAACAAGATTCCAAGAAAATGCAATGACAAGAAAACAGGCACCAGAGAAAATGGCAATGGGTATTCTTTCTGACTTGTTACTGCACCTCCTTGAAGAAGCACCGCCATCCTCCACTTCAGTATAAAGTTGTGAATGTGTACACTGGCCATTCACGAAAAATGCAACTTCATTCTGCCACCAGAAGGCAGGCAGCACCCACCTGCCTTCATAACAGTGATTAAAACTTGTGAAATGCTTTAGACCCAAAGTGCCTTTCCATCGATAGGGTGTCCCCCAAAATGCACACACACACACTTGGAATCATTTTAAAGGCAGCGTTTATTAAAATATATTTCATTTTCAAAATTGAGCTAGCAGCTGCGAAAGTGTGTATACTGTATGTTTTGGGGGACACCCTTCAGTTCTGCTCCTCAGGACATTCCCGTGAAGTAGGGAGGGGATGAAGAGAAGAGAGAAGGAAAGGTTCACAAAGGAGATGACTTGAAACTCAAACCAAACTTCACCACTGGGCACGGAACCTGGAGGCGGTCTCATCCGCTGTACCATGCTGCCTCCCCCAGGTGAACTCACCCCGGCTGCACACCCCAGCTTTCTCCAGCCCGCCTACTGAAAAGACGGGGACTGAACGGTACTGAGAGTCTGGGTTTTCTAGGCTTGACTCCACAATAGGAAACAAAGTACCCCAATAACAGTAACAATCTTTCTGAGCCCATCACTAACACACACACACACACACACACACACACACACACACACAGTGATGAGTCTGGGTTTTTATGATCTGAGTGGCTTCTAGTGGCGGCTGTGCTCTCGGGGGGGAGTTGATTTGCTGGGTTCCATTTCCTGGCCTATATGGAGCTCCAAATCCTTTTGCTTCCCTAAGGGAACTGGAAAGGTTAATAAGAGATACATCACCAGTAGTTAAACAATTCAGTAGCCAGCGCCCCGTTAGTGGCATTCCTAGGAGCAGCGGCGATAGAGAAGGTTACTGGCTGACTTAGAAAAATGAGGCCTGTTACCTAAACTGCCCTAACTTGCCTTCTCGGAATGCACATCACAAAACAAAGGCCAGCTGATGTCGGTCCACACCAGCGAAGGCTTCCACTTTGTGGTGTTCGGCACCTTGCACATCATCCTGTTTGGTGCCTGGCCCCGGGAGGGGAGGGGAGGGGAGGGGAGGCGAGGCCTCCACACCAACCTTCCCAGGTCCCAGGTCGCAGGAAGGAAATGAGGCTCGGGCACCCAAAACGCCCTGGAAAGTGACTTGCGGAGGGGAATCACCAATAAAGTGCCCCCGGCGGAGTGGGCGGCCAAGAAGAAAAAGGCAGGCTCACATGTAGTAAGTTTAGCAACTTTCTAGGACAGGGAACGTGCTCTAGCTTTGGGCTCGATGGCTCGCTTCTGACCCAAAGCCAAGCACCCGCCGGGCAGTGGCCCAGATCAGGACGAGGCTGCGGCGCGCGCCAATCAGCGGCGCCCGCAC